TATCTGATGCTGGTAAGTTCAAATCGTATATTTACTTTTGCTGGGACAATATAATCTTTAATTACTGCTGTAATGTATAACTTCATAAAAGCGATGCTCATCAAATAACTGACTCTTGCATACATTATGGCTTGTATTAAAAAGATAACGATTCCAGAAATTTGCATTCACACCAGGATTTCTCATTTTACGTTCATAAATCTGTTGCAGCTAATGGTTCCTGAGTAATTATTTTTTGTGTTCACATCATTAGATTTAATTCCATCATTTTTTTTAGTCCTTTTTGCTGGCATAACATTTTCACAGCTGTTTTTTCCTTTCCACTGGTGTAATGAGCACGAAAAGCAGATGGACAAGGTTCAGCAATAGAAGCAAGAATCCATTGCTTTTTTTGTAACTGCACATGATAATGTTAAAAAATCACAGCTTCTCAATTTGTATTATCACATATGAAAATAAATATTAGTTTAACAGATTGCCTTCAATGTGGAAAGAAAGTAATGCATTACTGGTAAGAGTTCCCTCGGGTTCCTTGCCCATAACTCTAATCCAAACTCTGCCTCTACAGTATCTCTCCTCCATTTCAATTATAGAAACCCCTCTTTAGGTCACTAATAATTATTTGACATTACATTGTGAGCTGGAGTATTAGGGTTCAGCTTAAGACTCGGGGAGGGGCTTAAGGCACTCTTTTTTTTACATTATCTAATATGTAACTGCAAATATATGGATGTAACATTGTATGTGTGTCCCCCACAACATGAACTTTGTAGAATGTTTCACATCTATATTATAAAAAAAAAAATGAAAATCTACAATAATGTTGTGTATGTGCTCTCATTTTCAGTTCCAGATCCACCATCATCGCTAACAGTTACTGCCACCACTGGTGACAGCATTTCTCTGGCATTCACACCCCCAACAGTAGGAGTATTACGATAGTTATCGACTTACCTACACACCAGTGGTGGCTCTGAATCCGATCCAATCACCATTAAAGTAGGGATGAACACAACATATACCATTGATGGTTTAACCTCTGATGTAGAATATACAATTTCCATGGTAACTGTCAGTGGATCTGGTGCGCTGGCAAAATTCAGCACTGCTGTGACAACAACAGCTACACCAGGTAACTATGCATTACAGTTTGATCTTAAGCAGTGTTATCTACACTGGTTTCAACCATAGAGGGCGAACTAGCGAAAAAATGTGTTTATTGTAAAATTAATTTTTTTCTCAATAAGTGTATTCTTTTGGTTTTTAATTTTTTGAAACTGAAATTTATACTGCTTGATGAATAAACTTGCAATCAAAGAGCTCAAAGTTCCACCACAGTCAATAATGATGATAATAATAATAATGATGATACATGTAATAATATCTTTATTGCGTCTTCATCAATATGCACATGTCTGTCAGATTATATCAAAAAGGATTAAATAAAATTCTGTTTTAATTTTTTAATGTCTCTCAGTTTAGTTTTTTCTTTCACTATTTTTTGCCTCCATAAATTGATATATTTTTGTATTATTATTTCAGTTGACTTTGTTCTCACTATATCTGGAGTCTCTGGAAGCTTTATGCTTGTGACATGGGAGGATCCACCTGGAAGCTACGATTCAACAAAAATAACATATGCTGATGAAAGTGATCCAACAAATGAACTTGACGCAGTATCAGTCGGTGGAAACCAAGCATTTGCATCAGGTCTCTCTCCTGGGACTGCTTATATAGTGACACTGTATACAGTGAGTGGGGGAAATGAAAATGCTGTTGTCATCCAAAAACAATATACAAGTAAGTTAGGCATTGAAAGCTGAGAGTAGAATGGTGCCCTCTTTGGTCTTTCCATGCATTGAAAGCTGAGAGT